ATGTTATGTTATGTTATGTTATGTTATGTTATGTTATGTCATTATGTACATTATATTATGCTATATTATATTATATTAATCTTAGTATCATGAGAGAAATAAGAAGTAACATCTTGCTTTTTTAAGTCAATGTTATTTGGAGTTTCTATTATACTGAAACAAATCTACATTTTACCTAGTAAAAGTGTTGTAGTAACATACACTTTTTTATTTATCTAGAATATGTTAAAATTTTAAAAAAGTAAAGCACACAGGTTAGAAAAGTAAAGGCAAGGTTCGACAGAGAATTCAGTTCTGGGCACACAGCAGGCTTATAGAAGGCTTATAGAAGGAGAGAGTGGATGAGGCATGTGTTGGGCAAAAGTGAGCAAGCATGGGGACTTTTGGAAGGGAAGGAAAGACATTTGAATAGAAAATACTTCAGCAACAACACATTTCTAACAGGATTGATTATTTCTTTTTGTTTCAATCCTCAAATCCACTTTGTCCATAGATAACCCAAAGTTTATGGAAACAAATAATGAGAGAGCTGAAAAGCCAACTTTGGTTACACAAAAGGAAAAGTACAGTTTCTAAAAGTGAGTCAAAAAGGAGCTGGTGGAGCAGCATTTCCTCTCGCCCACCAGTTCCTGTCTCTGATTCCACTAGCAGGGCTAACAGGCTACTCTGGGATGAGGTGGGCAGGTGGACGTTGTCCCCCTAAGTGGGCTTGGAAAAAAGTCTTATCATCACACAGCAGGCTGGACCAGTGGGAGGAGAAGAAAACTGCCCTGTAACTTTAGATGTGCATGTGTTGCCAGTGAGTCCTGATTGAGGCCTCACATATTTTGTGGTTACATTTATATTTTTATTTTTCCATTTTCCATTTTTAGGTCCTGTTGTAGCTCTGTTCTTTCAGTTTAAATTTGCTGGAAGTTAAAATGGAATCCCTTGAATGATCAAAACTCAAAGTCACCTGAAAACGGAACTAAGAAAAACCCTCCAGATGGAAGAACACAGGGGCAGGGGAGTGGAGAGCAGTTTTCCCCACCCCTCTAGAACTGTTTCCTTTGGTCCAACTGTGATCACTCTGTTCCATCCTGAGTTCTGGGGTTCTCTCTGCCCCTGTTTTCTTCTTTTGATCACATGAACTCTGGGCACATTCTTTTCTTCCAGCACATGGGGAACCTGGAGAATCTCAGGTTATTTGGGTGAAGGCCCCCTAAGGGAGGGTCACGCAGGAGATGTAAGCCCTTTAGGAAGTGGTCTGGAAGTCAAGCAGGTGAGGAGCGTCATGTCTCCTGGATAGAGATGATAGCTTCTGCTCACTGCTGCCTCACCTTCAGCTTCACAGAAAAGGGCTGGTGGTTTAGTCCTGGCCATTGCTGACATTTTCTGCTTGTTTCAAGGAATGCTTCCAGAAATACAGGCCTTTGGCTCTAGGGAATCTTTTCAGTGGGCAGTTATTGAGGCCTTCCTGTGTAACCCATATGGGGTGCTCTATGTCAGCAATGCAAAAGTGGTCATAACAGAAGTCCTGCCTCCCCCAGGAGGCAGAGGTCAACAAGTGCCCATGGCTCAGCTTAGTGAGACCGAGTTCTTGCACGGAGAGTCAGGACAGATTTAGAAAAAGAGTTAACACTGTGCCTGGGCATTGAGAGATGAATAGGAGTCCCAGGAGAAGAGGCATTGCAGATCTCAGATTGGGGTATGCCCAGAGAGAAGGCTGTCACAAGGTGCTTCAGGGTCCCAGCTGGGCACTCCATACCTTCTGGGTTTACCCAGGCCTACATAATGTCTGTACCTATGTCTTCAGGGTTCTGACAGGCTAGGGTCCAGTTCACACTTTTTTCCTTAGCTCATGTCTTAATGAGAGCCAGTAGCTCTCAGTCTGGGAAGGGATATCACCCCAGACAACTAGGGATCCAGCAAGAGTATAGACACACTTGTAAGGGCCAGCTGTGTCCACGCACCCATGGTCAGGTCTGTGTGGCCATTCTTAACCTCTCCTTGGCTGCACACTAAGTATAGATGAGGTACACAAAGGTGTAAACTATCCTTTGTGTAAGAGCATGTGTGGACATTCCCTTGGAAAGCATGTAGGTTCTCAGAATGAAAAGGACATTGACACTTGCAGGACTGATCCATGTTGTTCAGGACCCTCCTACGGCAAAGTGGGAGTGGCCTCTGTGGTCATTTCCTGGATTCTGTCAGGACACTTACAACCTATCCAGGTGTGTCAGGACTCTCCTTCCCATAGGTCTCTGCAGCCTGTTTCCCCTGAAAACCCACAAAGATGTCCCTATAATTGCTGACACCCCAGACCCAAATGTACACAATCCTTCTCAGGCTAAAAAAACAAAAAACGAAAAACATTACTTATGCTTCAGTTGTAGTTTTAGTGAACTTAAAGTCACCTGAGAAATGACGCAACCTCTTTTTTTTTTTTTTTGCTTTGGTTAAACCACTTTATTAAAGTATGACTGACATACAAAAGCTGCAACATCCAATGTCTACTACCGAAACAGTTTGGAGATTAGTATACACTGTGAAACCATCAAGGCCATGTACTTATCACCTGCAGAAGTGTCCTCCAACATCTGCTACTTTTGTTAATTTAATTTTTTTTTCTTTTGTGGTAAGAGAACTATCTACCTTCTTAGCATATGTTTAAGTGCACAATGCAGTATCGTTAGCTGTAGGCCTTATGCTGCACAATAGACCTCCAGAAATGATTCATCATGCATAACTTTATGCCCTTTAACCAGCATCTTCCCATTTCCCCTCCCCTCACTCTGGTAACCACCACTCTACTTTCTTCTTTTGTGAGTTTGACTATTTTCGATTCCTCATAAAAATGGAATCATGTAGTATTTGTTATGTGTCTGGTTTATGTCATTTATTGTAATATACTCCAATTACCTTCACATTGGTGCAAATTTCCTTCATTTTTAAGGTATAACAATTTTGCATAAGATACAACCTGTTTGGGTAGAGTTTTATTGCACATCTGGTTGCTTTTCACATGTGGTCATATCAAGTTGCTTATTTGTTGCAAATAACACATACCATGTTTCCCCCCAAATGAGACTGGGTCTTATATTAATTTTTGGTCCAACAATCTACATTTATTCATTTATTCATGTACAAAAATCTACATTTATTCAAACAGTCATGTCTGGCTGATCATCAACTGGGGCTTGTTTGGGGTAGAGCTTATATTATGAGCATCCTGAAAAATCATGCTAGGGCTTATTTTCCAGTTAGGTCTTATTTTTGGGGAAACACAGTAATAACCTGACATCATTTTGCCAGGACTGAGTTGTCTGGTGGCAGACGATGGAACTGTGAACCTGGAACCTTGTCTGAAAAGAAAAGCACAAAGACACATGGAGGATAGACAGGAATGATCCCCTGGTTGGGAACAGGGAGACTGCGACTCAGCGAAGAGCATTAGCTGAGAGCATGTAGCAGGCTCTCCTGAATGAGGGCAACCTGAGGAGAGGGAGGCCTGAGATAGGATTGAGAGGTCCCATTCCTGGGGAAGGACATCAGCTCTGAGGACCTCAGGGAGGACAGGCTGTCAGGTTCAAAGAAGCCTTCTCTCCTTTCATAAGTATAATTTAGTCACTGATGCCTGGGATCTGGAAAACCTTTTTCTTTATCACCAGGCATGGAATTTTAACTCCTTCCCTGATTCAGTGTGGCCCCAGAAACCCTTCTCAAGTGCCCACTGCCATGGCCTTATAGTTGAATGACTTCTCCATGTGACTGGCTACATCCGAACCAAGAGACTCACTGACTATGCTACTCAGTGTGGACCAGAGGCCAAGAACATCGCCATCCTCTGGTTGCTGGTTAAGACGAAACTCTCCAAACCTGACCAGATCTATTGGGTCAGAATCCTGGAGGAGGGACAGACCCAGGGACCTGGGTATCCACAGGCCTTCAGGAGATTATGGTCCCCTCCAAAGTTCACAAGTAGCTGCACACAGATACTGGAGGCCTATTTCATAGTACAGAGCTTGTGAAGAGTGTTTGCGAAGAGTGTGTTATTTAGTTGTTCCAGAGCTGCATTTGCTCTTCCAGCTGGAGGCTGTGAAAGTCCCTTCTCTACGAACAGACTGCACACAGGAAATTGTGCCTGCTCAGCTGTGGCGACCATGGCCACAAGAGGGCACCAATGATCACCTAATAGACACAGCTCCCCATCCCTGGAGCTCGTTTGGTTTTCTCCCTCTCTCTGCTTCTCTTGAGTAAGAGAGAAATTCCTCTAGAGACAAATTCTCACAAAGGAAACTATGGGCGCAGTGTGTGTTGGTTGCCATTCCGTCCATAAACACCTTTGGAGAGAAGGTGTTGACTCATCCAGCCAGTCCCAGGCTTAGCACACAGCAGCACACCCATGAGCTGAGAAGTTATACAGAGAGATGGTGTGAGCTCAGCATATTCTTCCAACTTCCCTAGCTTGGCAACATCCCCAGGAGCCAGTTATTTGTCTGTCCCAGAACTCAAAGTGGGAATAAGGAGCCAAATGGGACAAAGAAACATTGGGACCTGTCAAGACCTCAAGCCTCTTCTGAGCGTTTTGAATGAATGCTCATCATCTCTGGGCAGGTTACCTTCTATGACTCACAAAGCTGCCTCTTGGCAACCCATCCTTTTGGGCTCTGCCCCTCATTGTCTTGCTGGCCCGCACCCTACTGCTGTGTCTTCCATTTTTACCTCTTGCACTTGTGTCCTTGTTTCAGCATCTGATTCTGGGGCATACAAATAAAGTCTTCTCTCCCCACTGAGGTGCTGAGGGAGCACTGTGGCTGGGGTTCAGCTACAGGGGACCCTTCCTCTCATGGCAGCTCCCTCCCATCCCACTTTGCCTGGGTTTTTTTCTTCTCTCCTGGACAGGAGACAATTTTTTTAAAAAATATTTTTATTGGGGAATTGGGGGATGGGAGAAGACAATTTTATCAGCCTTGGATGGAGGAGGCAGGGCCACATGTGGGAAGGGATAGGGTGTAATAGCAGAGAGGAGGCTCAGAGGAAAGATTTGCCCTGGAGCAGATAAGTTGGACCAGGGCCCAGGTAAGCGCCGACAGGATCCCAACTGGGGAAGAGTGAACGCCATGGGTGCCTGGGTGCCTGCAGCCCTGCTGCACTGCCAGGGGAGGTGGGCTCTGCCCTGGGCCATGCTCCTGCTTCTTTTTCCAGGAACTCCATGCTCCTACTGGATTTCCCACGAGGAAAGGGAGAATGACGATCAAAAAGTCATGGAAAGTTATTTTCCTGCGACTGTGGAGTATGCCTTACACATATTCAATCTGAAGAGCAAGGACATGAATGCCTACAGGCTGGTTCGGATCCGGAATTCCAGGAGGGAGCAGGTAAGGGAACCACACCTTCCAGTCCTGCTGTCCTGCACTTGTGATAAGTGCGAGTCAAGGACAAGGGTCTTATCAAAGGATCTTGTTTCCCATTTGAAGTGTGTAAAATACAGGGATAATAACAACCTGTTGATTTAGTTCCAGTTTTTATAAAAAAAAATACTTGGAAATTTTAAAACTTCAGGCAATGTCTACTCACATGTAAGATATATTTTCAATCTTCATCATTTTTATGACTTGTTTAGTGAAGAATGACTTCAAAATATGGACAATGAGGGGATAAAGACATCCAGTAAGGAAGAGACTCACACAGAAAATGTTTGAAATGATAGATTGAAGAAATATTTCAAGGAAATAAAAAGAAATAATAGAAAAATTGAGGCGGAGGGGGGGAAAGGAGGGAGAGTAGGGTTGAGGATCAAGAGCAGTGAGGTCCTGCTGTGAGGTCAGGGCCTCTGCCCTGACTCCCATGAGCTCTGGGCACCCTCCTGATGTCTCCATCTACATGGATTAATGTTATTTTACACTCTTTCTCAGACGATGGTTCTTATTCTAAAATGTTCTCCTTGCCATGGAATCTTTACAGAATGCAACCAGTAATCCCATTTTCATCTGGACTGCAGACATGAACAACGAAAACATTGTCCTGAAAGAGCACTTCTGGTTCCTGGTTGTGTGACTCTGTGTGTGTGTGTGTGTGTGTGTGTGTGTGGTGGTGGCGGTGGTGTCGGGGCATTACTCTTACTTCTTCTGGACCTCTGCACCGAAAGTCTGTATGAAGGGCAGAGGATTTCCATGCTGGGCTGAGCTTAAGCCTCCGTGGACATTGGTGGGCAACGTCCCCACTAGTTCTGCTCTCTCAGGCTGGACCTCTAGTTGGGTTTTCTAGATCTGGAGTCACAGACAGAGTTTAAATGTTAGGAATAATAAATTGGATGCAATGGGAGGATATGGAATAGAATGAGTAGAATGAAGTGGAGAAGAGTACAGAACATTTTGGAGTGTACTTTATATTAGAAGTTGTTTCTTGAAGCCATTGTCTCAATTGTGTGTGTGTGTGTGTGTGTGTGTGTGTGTGTGTGTGTGTGTGTTTGTGTGTGGGGGGTGTTTCACAACTAGCATTGTATGGTGTTTTTCTGATGTTGGGCAGGTGAAAGGTGTGACAATGGGGCTACAGATGAGTCTCCCACTGTTAGGGTAAGATTATCTAGCAAACTCTTACAGAGCCAACGCCCTCCCAGGTACTTGTCACCTGTCCCTGGGAATGCTGTAGAAGCTAGAAGTATGCTGAAAGGAAGGTGGGGGTCTCGCCATGGCATTTGGAAATGCGAGGCTGTAGTGTGTGATATTAATGGTGTGTGATCAGCCTGCATCTACCCTGGGACCTATACCAGACCCATGTGCCGCTTTACCCAGAACACCCCAAGCTTGGCTTTGCCTCCAGTGGGCTGATGCAGGCCCAGAGGAAAGGCCCCAAATGGAGTAGTGTTTGGACCTGTCCCTATACTCCATGTGTCTACACTAACAACTACGTAATGCGACCATAAGGGCTGTTTCCACTTTATTGTCTGTATATATGACAGGCAGAGACCATGTTGGCATTCTCCATGGAGCTGGAGCTTCGCAGAACTAAGTGTGGGAAATTTGATGAAGACATTGACAACTGCTCCTTTCAGGAAAATGCAGAGCTGAACAATGTAAGACACTCACGAGCCTCCTTTAGGTTCCACAGCTGTGGACCTGCATCACAGTGCAGTGGGGGTGGGGCAGAGGACATACCCTTTCTAGGAACACAGAAGATTCAGGGAGCTGCTGGCCCTACTACAGCCACTCCTTGTGCTACAGGACAGAGCCCAGCCTGGCAGTCAAGCCCCAGGGTCCACTTGTCAGCCATGTGGCCAACCCTGAGATCCCATCTTTGTCCACTGACTCCATTCAGCTGTCTGTACCCCGGGTCACACTGGTGACAGATTGCTCCTGTCCCTAGGATCCAGGCCTCCTGGTCCCAACCACAGGATGTCCTCTCCATGCTCTTTAGCCATCTCTCTTTCCAGCCTTCAGGGAAAGAAACACGTCAGGGGTGGTCAACATCACCTTTGCCTGAATGGCCACTTTTCAAGTCCTCTTTGTCGCTGACCAGAGCCTGAGGACGTTGGGCTGAAAGGGGCCCACTGTCCTCCTCCCCAAGATCTGCCCTGGGTCCCCTAAGAGCATGGGTCACACTGGGATAGCCTGTGGTTCCCTTGGGGACCACAGTCCTGGGGAGGGAAGAATGGCACAGGAGGCCCTGGGGTCAGGAGTATTCCAAATTAGGAACATCCAGGACTCAGACTGGGGCTGCAATTGAGGGCCAGAGCCTGTGCGTCCCAGCTGCATGTCTCACCCTGGGAATGCAAGGTTGGGGCGGACGCTGTCTTTAGAGCTGGAACCACAAGCCTCCCAAGGCTTCTCCACTCATACTGCATTCTTGTGCTTGTTCCCGCAGACCTTCACCTGCTTCTTCACCGTCAGCACTGAGCCCTGGAGAACAGTGTTCCAACTCCTGAACAAGACCTGCCTAGAGGGGTTCTACTGAGTGTGATCACACCCCAGCCCAGCCTTTCTGTCCCCCTTGGACACCAGCAACTCCCTTTAGGTGGCCCTTCAATGGTTAAGCAGCTCTGATCTCAGTTCTCTGCTTTGCAAATATCTGGAGTCTCACATACAGGCATTGTGGAAATTCCTCATTGTCCATTTTCTTCCTGCGGAATAGATCATTAAACATCAGCACTTCATGAAGCTTTGTGTAGCATTGTGAGGGGGCTGGGCAGTTTATGCAGTCATCCCAGCAGGGCAGCCTGGTAGCCCAGGGCAGTGGGGTGGGCCCTCTCTCCCTCTTGCACCTCCTGAGCTGGCTTCAGGTGGCACAGGTAAGGTGCCTCTGAGCTGCTGTCTCAGGGCTCATGAGAGATAACCTATGTCCCCAGAGATGTAATGACCATGACCGAGCGGGGAATCCAAAGTGCAGGATGGATGCACACAGGGCCTCAGGCCCCTCAGAACACATGGGGCCTCTGTTCTGGGTGACTTGCTCACACACATTACCTGGTTCACTGTAGGGAGAATGACAGCTGGAACAATGTAGGAAGGGATTCTAGTCTCCATTCTGAGTAGTTAGGCCAGCAGCAGCAGAAACAGCAGCAGCAGCTCCTCGATGCTTTTAGAAATGTACAGTCTCAGGGCCTGTACTTTTGGGCAAAGAGACTACATTTTTATAAATTCTCAGGCGACCCAAGGACAATTAAAGATTGAGAGACACTGTTGTGCTTCATACTATTGAGACTCTGCCAAAATCGCCTAGAACAGGAGTTGACAAACTTTTTCTGTAGAGACGAAAAGTTACTCTTTTGCTTTTGTGGGCCATGTGGTCTCCTTCTCAACTCCTTAATGTTGCTTTGTATCTGGAAAGCACCATAGACAATGTGAACACAAACAGGGGTGGTCTTCTTCCAATAAGGCTGTGTTTGTATAGATAGGCAGGGGATGGAACTGATCCTTAAGCTGTAGGTGCCCTTAATACTACGTTTCCTACTCATCTTTTGCAGCTGGGGGACCCAGTATCAGCATACTCCCAGCTTCACCACAAGATCCACATCTCCCTCAGCTCTGCTCAGGGCCTCTCTGTGCAGTTGGAGCTCCAACAGCAGAGCAGGGCAGACAACACTCCATCCATGGGGAGGGTAGCACAGGAAAGAGCCCTGCATCCTAGCCCAGGTAGACCAGTTAGAGGCAAGTGGTTCTCATGCTACCAGATGATTCTCACACTTCCCAGCAGGACAAACCTGTGGCTGCAGTGGTGACCCACGATAATAACCAAGTTGACATTCTCTCTTCTTTGCCTCCCTTTCCCATTATGCCATCTGTGATCATCTCCCAAATAGACTACCTGCACTCAGCAGTCTGTGTTGCAGGGTCTGCCTGAGGGAATCAGAGCAGAAATATGGTGTCAGACATCTCCTTTGATGATTCTACCTGGATACCTGGATAAGCTTTCTAGGAACATGTGATTCCAGATAAAACCAAGGGGAGAACTGGGCTGTGGGCATCCTCGCTGCTTGCTGAGCAGCTCAGCATGGGCTCAGCTGTGATTTGTCCCACATCCCTGCCTGCCTCCTCCTAGACTTGAGCAAATTCTTGAAGACCTTCCTGGTGTCCTGACTGCTGCCATCCGGTCTTTACCAAGAAGTGGTTCAGTCAGCAGAAGAAAGCTTAGAGATTCCCTTTACCCACCATGATCCCAATACATATTTTCAAAGAAGCCTACCCGCTCATTTCACTCAAGTGCCATTTTTGGGAAGTTCTAGCAGAAAGTCTCCTGTGGGGTCAGCCCAACTGGGGTGATGTGACCTAAAACCTGGGGCTGGGGGAGGGAGCCCACAAGATAGGGATCAAGGCGTGGCTCCTAGCTGGGACTCATTGATTCCTATATCACTCAGATCTCACTCATGGGGGTTGTCAGTGGGTTTGCCCCACCCCAGGGAATCTACAGGAAGTGGGGATTTGTCCCGATCCACACTGTATCCCCAGGGCTCTAAGGGTGAAGACACATGCCTCATGGGCGTATGAGTAACAGGGGTAGAATTGAGGGACCAGTTCTTGTGGTAAGACCACTCCTCCCTGCCCTGCCCATGTCTGCCTGGGTACCTGTTCCATTTTCAGATCTGTGTGTTGGGACCCAGGCCTGAGCTGTGGAGCAAGCTTGGGGAGGGGGCTGTCTGGAGCTGTCTGTCTTGGTGAGAAGATCTGACAGGGGGAGCCAGGATGATGGTTGGGGCCTTAGGGACTATGGTCGATGGATGAGGATGACTGTGATAGAAGCCCTGTCCAGGCCCATGACACTCCATGTAAGTGTACACCTTCCCTTCCTGTTAGAGCATGCAGACCCAGGGAAAGGCCCAAGGACTGAAAACATACCTCCATAAGTAGAGGGCAGGGAAAGATGAAAGAAAGAGGCTGGTCGCTCCAGTCTGGTAATTAGTAGAGTTTATTAAGGGAAACCTACATATAAGATATGTGTTGGGTGGCTGCAAGATGAAATGAATCCATGTGCCATTTAGTTGGCACCAGAGAATTAGCTAGAAGATGGTGGGATAGTTATGTGTACCAGTAAGTGACTTGTCCCAGCTACCAGTAAATGCATTAAATGCTTGCTTGGGTCAGGACAACCACCTATTCCAGAAACCAGCATGTAGTAGGAGGCAGGGGAGCTGGTTTATGCAGATCAAGCATCATTTACAATCAGTCTCTGAAGGGGTTTGCAGGGTGCAATCTTCATTCTGGCCTGGGTCCAGCTCACGGGTCAGAGGGAGGTTACATATGTCTTATAACAATCTTTCCTCCACAGTTCCCAGGGTTGTGAGACAGAGGGAATGAACACAGGTGGGGTTCCATGGAAGATAAAGACAGTTGCCTAGTTTCAGAGTGACTGCCTGAGACACAGCCCCACTTTCTGGCTGGCCATTTCTGTCCTGGGCAGTGGGTGACCTATGTCATTTCCTGGAGTGAGGCCACTGTGATCCTTGGTTCCTTTATAGAAGCTGACTACTGTGATGAATTCACCTGAGTTCTCCAGAGAGCCACGGGAGCTGGCCAGGTGCCCTGGCCTTGGAAACCAGAGGGCCAGCTCAGCTCTGCCACATGTCCAGCCAACAGCCTTCACCCTGCCCTGAGCCTTCTGCACCTCAGTTGCCCATCCCTCCCGTGGGGATAGCATCATCCATACCTTCCCCAAAGGGTTGATGCTTGGGATTAAATTCAGACTTCAGGAGTAAAAGTGTTGGGTTCACTGGAAAGTTCTCTTAAATGAGATTTGCTCCTTTCCTTATCTCTGCTTTGAGTTCATTTGGAACTTGCATATTGGCCATTTCTCGGTCACAGCTTTGGGGACAAGAGTGAAGGAGGGACTTGGTGTTGCCATCGAGATGACAGCAAAATATAGATTTCAGGAGTTATGTTCACCACTGCAATAATCAAATGACCCTGAGTTGTTGCCAGGGCAGGAAATGCAGAAGGAGAGTGCAGGAGCATAGGTTTTTCTCACAAGATGGGCTCCAGCCAGAGGGCTCCCTGGAGCATTGGACACAGGCACATCTCCCAGAACTGAGGGATTCAGTCCTCCTCTGTCCAGCCTGCCTGCCTGGATTGCCTGATGCTCTTTCCTCATCACCTGGAACCCTTGGTACCACGTAGTGTGTGGTACCCCTGATGCTCATGCTGAAACCATGGTCTTTCTTCTTTTTTTTCTTCAAATTATTACCCCCTGCCCCCTCCCCAGACCCACTCCCCTCCAAGCCATTTTCTCAATCTAGTTGTGGAGCATACCACTCACTGGCCCACGTTGGTATTATGATCATCGTGTTCTACCCGGCTGAGGCAGTCAGCCACTCATGCTGATTGCTGGCCACTCACGCCAGCCCCCGGCCACAGCTCACGGAAGCCCATGGCAGCCCACAGCAGCCCATGGAAGCTCACGGCAGTCCAGCTCCAGATTGAGCCGTTGTTCACAGTCTTAGCTGTAGAGGGTGCAGCTTACTGGCACAGCTTACTTGCCCATGTAGGAATTGAACTGGCAGTCCTGTTGTTCGGAGCTCACACTGCTACCCAGCTACCCTAAAATCGTGGTCTATCTGAACCACTGTAGCATGGTGTGTCCCGGTCAGGTTGTCTTGCATGTTAAATTGAAGTACGTAAATTCCCTTTAACAAGATGTTACCTTTAAGTGTAGAAATCTATAACTCCCTTTATAAGCCTTTTATTGTGGGTCAATTCTTTCACATATATCGTTAGTCAAATGGTAACTAAAAAAAGTTCTTATAGCAATGGGAATATGGTACGTGGTTGGATCGAGTGCTGAAAGCATCCATAGCAATACAGCCATAGGTTGTGATGGTAAGATAAACAATCCATCAAGAAGCTCTAATACCCATGAACCTGGAAGAGCTGGAAAAGCCAACAAAAAAATTGATGCTTTTATGGGGCAGGCCGACAATTCCACAATCACATCAGGAGTGTAACACATCTCTCAGGGCTATTATCAAGAAGGATAAACATTATAAAGGATATAGGTGAGTTGAAAGATGCAGTTAACTAGTCTACTCAACAGTTTTCTGTAAATCCCTCTACCTAACATGACACGTGGATTTTAAATTAACTGATAATTATAAAATAGTAGTGTTAAAAATGTTACAAACATATTGGCAATACAACAATAAAACTATAACAGGAATTTTGAATTAATACATTTCCTGATGAAAATGTAATTAAATTAGTAGTATAAATATATTAGTAAATTATCATTTCACAATGTATATCAAACAATTACATTGTATATCTCAAATATATATAATTTTTTTGTCAATCACACCTCAATAAAGCTGGGAAAAATTTTAGAGAATTATCATTAAATGAAATTAAATATTGAAAATTTAATTGACTGCCAAAGAAGTAGTAAAATAAATTGAAAATGAATTAGTTTGTAAGTAAATTATAAATTTAATTAGTAGTAAAAATACATACATAGTGAAAACATAACTGAAGCTTGTTGTTATGTAAGTTAATAGCTTACCCCCAAATAACATATCTGTTAATTATATTTTTATTAGTTTCAGGTGTACAAAACAACATAGAGATTAGACATTTATATACCTCACAAAGTGA